GAGGATGAGTGCCCACAGATAGGGAATGTTGGCAGACTGCTTGAAAGAGGTGTTTCCAGGCCTGCTCGAAAACCTCTTCACTCCTCTGCCACTTTATTTCTCTCTTTATTTCTATTTGAGCTATACCAGAAGGTAGGCCCCACAAAGACAGGCCTTTACAGTTAGCAGTTCCTCAGCGAGCATGGAAAATGCCAGGGGAGCATCTTCACAGGTCCTGGGAAGAGTGGAAAGTTGAGCCTAGAAGGCCAGAGGCGCTTGTGGCGGTCCTGGACAGCTTCCTTCAGTCTGAACTCACCTGGCAGGTGTTGTCTGGGGGTGGGGACCATCTGGGATTTTTAAGCAACACGGTGGACTGCTCAGACTTGGGTTTCTGAAGGTAGGTGAGACAAGAGGTTTAGAAGGAGGGGAAGACCCTAGTCCACAGGAAAGCAGTGGTGGTAGGAGGTAGTGGCAGCAGGTGGTCTGCAGATGTCTGGAGGGGGTGGAGTTAGGACTGGGAGAACGTGGGGCGTGCCAGAGCAAGCCTGGTACACCATGCAGGTGGGTGACTGGGGGCTGCGCTGCAGCTGAGGGGGCAGACAGTGAGTTCATGCTGGACTTCCCATCTCCCAAACTCCAGGGAGAAATGACTTGGTGACTACTGGAAGGGAGGGAGCTGAAGTTCAGGAAGGGAGGCTGTCTGGGGAAGCTTTTCAGCATCTAGAAGTGGGAGTGGGTGCAAATGTACTGGGGCATTTTGTAGAGCAGTGTGTTTTCAGACTCCCTTTAGCAGCAGAACCTTTTGTTACTCTCCCTAAAAAGAATGTTTTTTACGTGTAACTCTCTGAGCAAATGAAAGCTGGAGTGTGGGGTTCAAAGCCTCTCTCTCCCAAAGACCCCTTTGGTCCTGGCAGAACTGGAGCAGAGAAACACAGCAGCCGGTAGATAAGTAATAGCTAGCCTTGTCTAGGGCAGAAGGGACAAGCATGTTGTCCATGGTCACAGGGATGTACGTCCGTACAGTTTTTTCAGAGGACACTTTGGTAATATCTGTCAATAATCTTTGACCCTGAAGTCCCACTTCTAGGAAATATTCTTACCAAAATACTTGGCACAAGTACATAAAGATATAGGTACAAAATGTTCATTGTCATTCTGATAAATTGTGTAAATATTCCAAATACCAATGAACAGCCATATCATTTAGCTGTATAATTGAGCATATGTTAACATGGAAAGACATCCAAGGTGAAAAAAGCACAAATCAGAACCACATATAGTCACATTTCTGTTAAAACAAATAGCAAACGTATATGTATATTTGTATGTTATTGTATATTTTGAAGCGATCCAAAACTGTATACCACTTGTTAACAGGTTATCTCTGGAACACGGGATTAAATGGACTTTCCTTTTCTAAGCCTTGGGTTTCTGTCATTTTTTAATTTTTTCCCTCAAGTACCTGCAGTATCGTTTTTTAAAAAGTGATTTTAGGCCGGACTTGGTGGCTCAGCCTTTAATCCCAGCACTTAGGGAAGCCGAGGTGAGTGGATTGCCTGAGCCTGCAGGTTTGAGACCCACCCGGGCAACTTGGCAAGACCTCGTCTCTACAATAAATAAATCAGCTGGGCGTGATAGCACGCACCTGTAACTCCGGCTACTCGGAAGGCTGAGGCAGAAGGATCGCCAGAGCCCAGCTGGTTGAGGCTGCGGTGACCAGGAGCGTGCCACTGCACTCCAGTCTGGGCTACGAAGTGAGACTCCAACTCAATAAATACATAAATAAATAAAAGTGATTTTAGAAAGAGGAAGCCTCTGGAGTTCACATGGTGGGAGGAAAGAGGAGAGAGCTGGGAAGGGCCAGCCTTAGGGTGAGTCGGCTCGGACAGTGGGACATAAGGTGAAGGCGTGGAAGTTTTGAGGAGAAAGAAATGGAAGACTGAATCAGATGCCACTGAGAGGACAAAAGAAGTGACTGTCAGAGTTGTGAGGAGGTCAGCACTCATGGATCCAGGAGGCTCCTTTTGCTCCTAAGTTACTAGTACACAAACGGAGGGCAGTTGTTGGCCAGCTTGCATCTGTACTAAAGCACTTATACTGAGAAAAAAACCAAAGAAAATTAGGGCATGATTCTCAGACACACCCACCTAAACCCTGTAATGTTTGCTCATGAGTTTGGTGACACAGATACAAATGGCTGTCGTCCACGGGAAGGATGATCCGAGGATCACCCCTAGCAGTAGTATTTTTGTCCACTCTTTTAAAAAGCATAACAAGTGGGACCACAGTACCCTGACCTTGCCTTGTTTGTATGATTTTTCTCTTTTTTGACCTAGTCACCTTTTTTAATTCCTTCTAAAGTTGGCTGCTGACTAACATTGAACACAAAGGCAGGCCCATTTAGAGCTTTCTGCTTTCACTCAATTTTGGGCCTGTCTCTTTTCTTTTGGCTTGAATGTTTCCCAGTCATCCTGGCTTAGCAGGTGCCCACTTCTGAATAGCGTGTTTTCCACGCACCAGGAGTTCTGTGCTATTTACCTCCACCAACTAGGGCAGTTGAGCTTGCGGAGGGGCCTCCCTGTGGGTTGCATGGCCCCTTTTGGCTCAGCTGCCCTCCAGGTGGTTTGTCATATGCCTCCTTTTTTTAATTATCTGAAGACCGTCTCCTTTCCTGAAAGTTCACCAGGTAAAGAATGGGCAGCCCTTGAGATGTGGGGGTTTTCAGAGGTCAGCATCCTAAACATGGCCCACTTACTTCAGAACTCAATTTTCTTTGGGGCCAGGTTATTTTTGCCTTAAAAACTGGATTATCTTTCTTCTAAATTTCTCTTTTATATATATATTTGTTTGTTTTTACCATATCCTTTCAGGCACATGTGATGTGGTGTCTTAAAACTATATATAGTTCTTAAAACTATATTTTAGTTTCAAAACTTCCTTGGAACTTAAATTCATAACAGTGTGTTAGCACACATGCCATCCAAGTATAATGATTTCGGAAGTCCAGATGGTTTCTGTCCACATATGTAGATCAGAGCTGAAACTTAAAATAATTTTTAAAAAGGATGCTCCCTTCCAAGTGATTTGCTGTTCTCATGAATACCAGTTACTCCTGCCTAGAATCTGAGATAAGTTATCAGATGACAACAAGAAATGTTCAGCTTGCCATTCATTCCCTAGAATAAATGATTGATTTTCCATACCCTGCCTCTGTGTTTAGAGCTGTTGATAAATAGTGAGCAGGCCCTGGTGGCCATCTGATTTGCAAGGTGTGAGACGTAACTGATGGATCGCCAGGAAGGGTGGATATTCTCTCTGCATAAGCAGAGAAATGATGAATAACAAACATGAATTAGCACCATCTGGGTTGAAATTTCCCACTAGAGATGAACGTTTATTAAAAAAAAAAAAAAGATCATTGACAGTTTCCCTCTTACGCCCCGACATTTTACTGTTAGAATAGATGAACTGAATTGGCTTTTAATTTTTAGTCTCAGCTGCTTGTATTCAAAAGCTCATCCACTTACTGACTTTTTAAAAAATGTATAGTAGCAACTAGCAAGCCATTGATTTGATCTTAGGCGAGGGATTTTGTTCTTGTTTTGTTTTTATTTTAGTAGTGACAGGGGAGCATGGATCTCTGCACAGCTAATAATAGCTGTGAGATGGAGTGAATGATCTGCCTTGAAAATGAGCCTGACCCGAAAGCAAGGAGTTTGCATGACTGTGGGAGAAGAGAGCCTGTACCTGCTGAAACATTTCCAATCGCTTGTAACTGCTTTAAAATTTATGAGCAGCTCTCTGGAAATTAGTCTTTATGTTAACAGGTTCAAGCAAGCATCAAAACCTGAGCTAAAATTAGCCCTTGCTAGCTGGTGAAGTCTCCCAAATGCCTTGGGAATGACTCAAATTAGATAGAACGTAGTATTTCAGCAAGTTTTGTTTGGCATTTGTCACCTGATATTGGTATAGGTTTGTTCATTCATTCAACACACATCTGTGAACTTATTTGCCAAGCGTTCATTCTTTCCACAAATAGTTCCTTTTTAAAAATGTCTTAAGCTGGGCTCGGTGGCTCAGCCTGTAATCCCGCGCCTTGGGAGGCTGAGGTGAGTGAATTGCCTGAGCCCGCGGGTTCGAGACACACCTGGGCAACTTGGTGAGACCTCATCTCTATAATAAAATAAAAAATTAGCTGGGTGTGGTAGCGTGTGCTTGTAGTTCCAGCTACTTGGAAGGCTGAGGCGGAAGGATTACTGGAGCCCAGCAGGCTGAGGCTGTGGTGGCCGGGAGCAGCCACTGCACTCCAGTCTGGGCGACAGAGTGAGACTCCAACTCAAAAAAATAAAATTAAATAAATAAATAAAAATGTCTTAATTATTTTTAAAGATAAGGCCTGTCACCCAGGCCTGTGCAGTGGACTGATCGTGGCTTACTGTAACCTCCAATTTCTGGACTTAAGTAATCCTCCTGCCTCAGCCTCCTGAGTAGCTAGGACTATAGGTGTACACCGCCATTCCCAGATAGTTTTGTAATTTTTTATGGAGACAAGGTCTTGCTGTGTTGCCCAGGCTGCTCTTGAACTCAAGTGATTCTCCCTCCTCAGCCTTCCAGAGTGCTGGGATTGCAGGTGTGAGCCACTGTACCCAGCCTATAAATACTTCTTGAATGCCTGCAGTGTCCTATGCACTAGCCAGGAGTGGGGAGACATCTGTGATGAGGCAGACACAATCTCTGACCTCACAGAGCTGAAGTTGACTTGACTGAAGAGCAAGAGTTTACATGTGTGATCCTGCGAGTGTGCTAGGCATGGAGTCACTTTGCCTGCCTGACTTAAAACTACCTAGGAAAGAACTGGTCCCCACCCTCTAGGGGTGCACAGCCTCGTCAGGGACAGACACATAAAACACAGTGTTCTAAGAGATATTATAGAAATGATGGCCAGCTCTGGGGGTCGTGGAGCAGGAAAGCCAGGTGTAGCTCATTCTGTGAATGCTAACAACTGCCTTCTGCCCCTGCAGCATGGACAAGGACAGCCCAGAGGTCCACCAGGACCTGAACGCCCTCAAAACCAAGTTCCAGGAGATGCGAAAACTCATCAGCACCATGCCTGGCATCCACCTGAGCCCTGAGCAGCAGCAGCAGCAGCTGCACAGCCTCCGGGAGCAAGTCAGGACCAAGAACGAGCTCCTGCAGAAGTACAAGAGCCTCTGCATGTTTGAAATCCCTAAGGAGTAGAGTGAGGCTGGCTTCCAGGACTGCTGGGAAGGCAGGGGCATGGCTGTCTCCCCGCTGGCCCTGCCCTCTCCTTGGAGTGCGGTTCCTCCAGATCTCTCTCTGAGCGTCATGGCCGACTGGGGGGTGCTGCTGTGCTGCCTCGTTAACACAGATTGTGTGGGGAGCCAGCGCCAAGCTTGGCTCCGCCAGGCTTCCTTGTATATGTCCATATGTCTGGATGCATAATAACTCGAGTGCCTGCTTGGATGTCAGAACGTTCTGGAGGCTGGGGAGGGGGAGGAGGACTCTGCTCTGCCTCTGGGGAGGGGGCCATCTGCTGTGTGTCCGGACCACACCAGCAGATCTGAAGAGCACAGTCGGAAAGGAGGCGGCCTCTCTCTGCTTGCTTCCCTCTCCTCCCACCCCCACGACAATCAGTGCGTACCAGGTACATATTGTTCCTGTTAACAGCAGTTTCATGAAACATTTGCATGGACGAATTAAGCCTGTGCTCATATGGCGTGGATTTAAATGGTAAAAGGCTGTGAGAGAATGAACATTGTCTTGAAAGGCCGGAGGGTGACTTTTTCTCTTGAAACAGTTTGATTCCTTTTTTGTCTGAGCCAGTGAGTGGCACTGTATCTGTGAGGGCGTCAGCGCCAGCCCTGCCAGACAGCCCTTGTCTTCAGGTTCCCTGCCTCCTACACACTTTCCTCACCATTGCCTTCCCCTGTCACCATGGGCCAGTGCCTGAGAGTGGCCAGCTACCTCCCGCCACAGGTCTCCCCAGGGTGGTAAGGCACCCTACTTTCTACACAGGCTCAGACCAACTTTGGGCAAACAGATAGTTCCTCTCTGGCATTTCAGATTCACATCTCCCTGGATTAAAAAGTGTTTTCCCCTCTGACCTTCTCAAGAGTCTGCTGCACTTACTGCACTGAAAATGGGTTTACAGTGCACTTTTTGTTCACACAAAGACAACTCCAAGTGGCAGTCCCTCAGCCACACTGGAAGATGTTACACAGCCACAGCTCCTAAATGTTTATAAACAGTCCTCATTCTTCCCCAGCACCACTGATGTCTTCCAGGTGCGACCTTTTGTTTGCGTGCTCTCCCCTTGACTGTTAGATTGAGGTAAGAGCAGTTCTTTCCCTTGCCTCTTAAGGGTGAGGTGACAAGTACCTGAATATTGTTTGAGTCTAGAATTAGGCACATAACCTGTGCTGACCATGCAGGGACTTAGCAGACGCTTGCCAACTGACCTCGTTGGCAGGAGTATTGGCTGGAGATGTTTTTAGCAGGAGTCCCAGGAGTGGCGGCCTGCACCACCTGTCACAAGGTGGCTAGCTGTTGGGGGCCCAGGATGTGTGAAGGAGGAGATCAGATTTCAGCGGTGTTGGACAGAAAAGCAGGCTCTGAATGTAAGTGGGTGGCTACCTGTTAGGCCAGTTCTACCTTGGGACTGTTCATTTAACTGAATCAGTTATTTCCTTGGTGGGCCAGTTTTAAGGCTCTGACCAAAAACCACAGAACACATAAAAATACAGACCATCAAGGTCTTTCTGCAATGCCAGGCTGAAGTGGAGAAAGGCTCCTCACAGTGGTAGAGGGAGACAGACCCAGTGTTTTGGCTGATGACATCACTCAAATGTGTAATTAAAAGAACTGGCATTTCTCTCAGAACATCATGACTTTTGTGTTGAGACATTCATAGTGGAATGGCCCTTGGATAGTAGAGAAGAAAATGTTCCTCTCACTTGCTCGAACACAGAATGAAACCTCTGCTCCTTTTTTTTGTTTTGTTTTGAGTTAGAGTCTCACTCTGTCGCCCAGACTGGAATGCAGTGACCGCTTCCAGCCACCACAGCCTCGACCTGCTGGGCTCTGGCGATCCTTCCGCCTTAGCCTTCCAAGTAGCTGGAATTACAGGCGAGCACTACCACGCCCAGCTAATTTATTTATTTATTTATTTATTGTAGAGATGAGGTCTCTCAAGTTGCCCAGGCAGGTCTCGAACCCGCGGACTCAGGCAATCCACTCACCTCGGCCTCCCAAAGCACGGGATTACAGGCTGAGCCACCGAGCCCAGCACCTCTGCTCCTTATCTCCCTCTGCCCCAGCATGTGCACCTGCTAAACCAGTGTAAAACAGAGTAAGTCCTCTCCCAGGAACAGCATCTGCTTTCAAGGGCAGTTTGCAGGGTGGGTCATCCCTGTGCTGCCTGTGATTGTGTCTCTTGGTGATTTGAGGAGGTTCAGTCCTGGCGGGGTGTGGCCCTCACCTGAACAAGGTTGAATTCCCTCCCCAGGGCAATTTCGAGTATCCCTCACAGGGCTGAGCACCCTTTTGAAGCCACCAATTATTTGGATTAGTGAGTGGCAGGCACTTGTGCTAAGTACTTTCCAAATATTGCACTTAATTCCTACAGCAACCCCATGCAGAAGGTGTTCTAAGTCTTCCTCTGGGAAGAATTTGAGGCTTTGCAGACCTGCCCCAAGTTTGCAGTTACTGATGGCCGAGAGTGCTGGGCTCCAAGTCTCAAGCAGGCGCCTTACCACTAAGAGGGAGACGGCAAGGGGGGAAGCAGCGTGGGACCCCACCGGGGGCCAGTAGCGCTACCTGAGGCTGTGGGTATTTTAACTGTTGGGCAGTTGATACGGCAACCCGGGAGCCAGAGAATGAGGCACCCCCACCACCACTGGCCTCCTCCCAGGTGGGTCTCAGGCTCAGTGTCTACAGGTAGAAGCAGGGCCCAAGTGACAGACCCCTCCAACAGTCTGAGAGTTCAAGTTTGACGACGTCTACAGCCTGGCCCACACTGAATCTAGTGACGAAATGTCTAGGCATATTTCCAGTGGCCTCTCACTGAAGGGGAAATGAGAATGTTCTCTCAGAAAATGAGGCCCTTGGTGATTGGGCCTGAAGAAAACCAAGCGGGTAGATGACTAGCAAGGTTTTGTCTCTGGGGAGACCCTTGAAATCCTTTGTATTCCTGGTTTTCCAGGGAACCATTCCCAAATAGAAAAGCCTGGTCTGAGAGGCCCAGTCACCTGGAGCTGTCTGGAGCATGTTCTCCATGACAGCTGAAGCTATTTTCAGACTGCTGGGGTAATTTTCCAGTTCTGGGGAAGGCAAGTTCTAATTCCATGGACGTAGAAACCTTTTCTCTCTCCCCACCCTTCCCCACACCAGCCATTTGTGAAAGCAAAAACCAGTTTTCCATTTTAAGTTATTTTATTTTATATCAAAAATCCAACAGTAACATTAAAGACCTCATACACACAGTATAAACACCTGGATAAGATTTTGTTCATGTCGATGTTGACACCAGAACTACTATTAAAGTGCAAGTTTTATGTTGTTTTTCTTTGTGCAGTTTCACTCACACACATGTAAACAAGTCAGTTGCTATGAATTGGCCCACACACCCCCACCCCCCTTAGTTTCGGGAGGGCAAAGGCTTTGCGGCAACCCAGAATCACAGATGAGATAATGCCCCGTGGGTCCTGACCCTCGAGCTGGGCAGGACGGTTTCTTGAAGCCTAACAGCGGTCGACTAACCACATCGCCCGCTCCCCACCCTCATTCTTAGGTCTTGGAAACAAGACCAACCCACTCTGCGGGGCCCTTGCGCCCCAAGTCGCGGGCGCCAATGGGGGAGCGGGGGGGCTCCCAGTCTTCGCCCTTCTCTCTCCTTCCAGAGCAGATGACCGTCCCTCCTCGGTGGGGCGGCGCCTCCCCAGGACGGGGGCCGGGTGGCGGGGAGGGAAGACGCCAGTCCGAGCTCGCGGCCCGGGGCGCGCGGGGCCGGCCGGCCGTCGGACTTGACCTTGAAGCCAAAGGTCCTCGTCAGGTGGCGCGGCGGGGCTCCTAGCTGATGACGCAGCGCTCCTTGTCCTTGGCCTGGCTCGCGCCGCCGGCCTTCTCGCGAATGTACATGAGGTCGCTGTGCACGCTGGGCCTGCGCGCGAAGGGCGCCACGATGCCGAAGGCGTCGCCCGGGTCGCCGCCGCGGCCGGCGCGCAGCAGCCCCTTGCTCCGCAGCGCCTTCTTGTGCAGCACGTCGCAGTACTGCACCGACACCTTGCGGTGCAGGTCCGGGCTCATCTCGCTGGGCAGCTTGGCCATGGCGAAGAGCGCGCGGAACATCTGGTCCAGGCTGCTGTTCTTCTTGGCCGAGATCTCGAAGTAGGCGCAGCGCTGGGGGTCGTCGCCCACCAGCCGCTCGATCTCACGCCGCTCCACCTCGCGGTAAAAGTCCCGGTCACCCTTGTTGCCGCAGATGACCAAGGGCACGTCCACGTTCTCCTTGGTTTTGTTCTTGAGGCAGGACTTGGTGTCGAGGATCTGCTGCTTGAGCCTCTGCACCTCCTCGAAGGAGTCGCGGTTGTCCAGGCTGAACACCAGGATGAAAACGTCTCCTGCAGGGGGCAGAGAGCAGAAAGGGGACGGTGAGGGGCCGCCGACGGGACAGGCTGGCGCGCCGGCCTCTCCGGGCGCCCCTGGCCCCGGGTCCGCCCCGCCCCGCCCCGCCCGCGCCGGCCCACGCGGCCCGCGGCTCACCTGTGAGGATAGAGAGGCGCCGCATGGCAGGGAACGGGTGGTTGCCCGACGTGTCGAGGATGTCGAGCTGGTAGACCTCGCCGCGGATGGAGTAGAACTTGCGGTGGAAGTCCTCGATGGTGGGCGTGTAGGCGTCCTCGAAGCGGCCCGTGAGGAAGCGCGACACGATGGCCGTCTTGCCCACCTTGGACGAGCCGAGGATGACCATGCGGTAGCAGTTCTTGGCCGGGATGCTCAGCTCCGCGTTGCTCGGGCACATCTTCTTGATCATCGCGGCCAGTTTCATTGGGCGGGGGGCCGCAGGGCGGACGCTGGGCCGAGAGAAG